ACAATACTTTTGTTTTTCGTCCACCAACAAGGGGATGAGTTAATCCTCCCGGAGACAGAGTGTCCACCTCTTACTCAAGATTCTTTGTAACACTAAATATGTAGCTGTGTGTCAGCAGGACCACTGTCAGTAGGACTGGCATTTATGTGACCTAGCCAGAGGAACAATCGATATTTTTTACGATTGGTATTCTCCAGAGCCTCGCTGTTTATGATGGGGAAGGGGGGGGGGGGAAGGAAACCCAGCTGGAAAGAGCTGTTTGTGCAGTGCACACAGGCAGACCGACTGCTCCTCAGCTCTGCCATGACATACATGGAGACTTGATTTCTCCTGAAAGCACTGATGCCACAGGGGCATTGTGATAGCAAGGGGATACAGATACTCGCTTCATTTTAAGAACTTCATGTACGGGTCTACTGTAGGAGGTTGGGCTCCGACTACGATAAATAAAGTGAGAGCAGGCAGCTCTATGGGGCTCTAGCTCTGAATTACCATGTGGAAAAGGTTGTTTTTCTCCATGGACTATAGAAAAAGCTGACAAAAAGTAGTCTCCTAAGTAGAAGATAAATTTTAGATGACATGAATACTCCTCTATGTTTTTGCATCTTGAACAGGACAAATTAAAATCTTATTATTTTTGGTAAACCGTTAAATGTATATTTGAATGTTTATTTAACTGCTATTTAACAAAGATCAAAATACTCATAAAAATGTTTTAACATGTCAAATCTTTATCCCATTGTCCTTTTAAAGGAATGATATTTTTCTTTTTCTAATTGTAAGCACATATATTCTTGGATTGTTTAAAATATTTACATTTTACTCCTTACTTTTACATTTTCTTCACCTCTTTCTTCCCTTTTTTGTTTTTCTAATTTTCCACAGAAAGTAAAGTGAAGGACAGGAATAGACAAAAGAAAATTGCACAAATATTGTGTCTTTGACACAGGAGACATTTTCTGCACAAATTTTTGTTTTCAGAAATTCTGTTCCCACCCCATAATAATAATAATAACCTGATTAAAAAACTTCCATGAGTTCTGTTCAATATAGATGGGACAGTCTAAGGTTGACCTCTTGATCTAATGAAATCATAGCATGTCCTAATTTTGTATAGGATTTCTGTGGTAGTATTTCTAATTATACCCTTAACCAATATATATAACCAATCATCATAAATGGCTGACACTTGTCAACAGATACTACTCTAGAATTTACATCCTTTCTTATGGCTGGAATGAAATTGCCCTCTCTTAGCTCCTGTGTTAAATTCTAAGTGATTTCTATTTTAACTTATTTCGGTATGACTAGGGGACAGTCATAACTCGCTGACTTACTTGAGCCTAAATATAATGTGGTGTTTGCCTGGCATCATTGTGACTGATCTTTGAAAAGTCATTTTTATTGATTTCTTGTATTCATCTTAAAGAACCTTGTAGACTTCCAAAAGTTTTCACCTGCCAATCATGTATGCTAGGTCTCATGCTGGATCCAGTTTTGAACTGACACTCACTCTCAAACCAATTTCTCTTTGTGCCAATAGGATTTCTGTTTTTCTTTTCTCTAGGTTGCGGTCTTTGGTAAAGCAGTTAGAGAGAGGGGAAGCTTCAGTTGTAGACCTAAAGAAGAATTTGGAATATGCTGCAACTGTTCTTGAGTCCGTATACATTGATGAAACTAGGTGAGTTAACTACAGACATCATCACGCTTCTTATATCCAGTACCAATGACACAAAATTGTAACTTACATGTCAGTTGGGAAATTTGTTTTAGCCAAAATTTATTAGTCACAGACAATATGGTTTTAATCATTAAAATATTGTAGTCTGTGTAGAATAGATCTTCAATTCTTGGTCTAAAAGCTGCTTTAGGAGGAGATCAGAAGCAGTCGTAAATTTAGTACATATTCTGTTGGAGAAATGTTGTCATAATAATTGTATCTTACTTTTTCTGAAAGTTTCTAATTTTGTACTCCTCTGTTCCTTTTGAATAGCGTTAAGTATTTTTGCTTGTATTGAGTCTTCAAAATTAAAAAAAATGGTAGATGTAGACTGGTAAGATGTTGCAGAGGAGTTCCCCACTCTGTTATATGCCATTTCCCCAGTGCTAAATGCACTTGTAGAGTCAGCTCAGATGACCAGAATGGGAAAGGAGAGGACTGTGTGATACTAACTAGGAAGTTAGACCTGACCATAAATGAGCTCTGAAGGGCAGAAAGGTCAGGAAGATTGACGGGCTGAAGATGAGAATTGAGTGGATGGTTACATAGTTGTGCTTCAGAAGGCTGATACTTCTTGTTTGTTGGCTTCATAGTGAGTTTTACAATCTGACATTTAACTATACAAGAGAATAAACAATCTGTTGAAGACTTGTACTATTGTGTTCTATTAGGGCTGACAAACAAAAGACTTTTAAAAACTGCTTTAATTAGAATATATGTGAGTTTCTTTTTTGTTAATAATGTTGCAGTGCTCTCCAAAGAAGTCTGTTTACCCATCTTTTTCGATCCCCTTCTAGGCGTTTACTGGACACAGAAGATGAGCTCAGTGACATCCAGTCTGACTCTGTGCCCTCAGAGGTCCGGGACTGGTTGGCTTCTACCTTCACGCGGCAAATGGGGATGATGCTCAAAAGGACAGAGGAAAAACCCCGGTTCAGGAGTATTGTCCATGCAGTACAAGCTGGGATATTTGTGGAAAGGTAAAGGGGCATGTAATTATTTTGTTCTAGCAGGTGCCCAGGTACTGCAAGTTGCACCTTGTATTATTGAATGAAGAATACTTCAATATGCTTCTAATGATGTTTCTACACAGATCTGGATAGCACTTCAAAAGCTGGGATTAAGTCATAGATTGCAACCTGAAACAGCACGTAGTGATCTGTTCCTAGCTTAATACAGACATAATAGCACAGTTGGGATAATTTTTACAGAAATATTCACCTTTGCATAACCTTGGATCAAGAGTGACAGCTTTTAAAATTCGATCAGCCCAGACCAAGCCCTCCCTTGCCACTGTTGCCTAGTATTTCTTATGAAAAACTACTAAGACACTAGAGAAAATCCTGTGTCATGGTATTACTGGAAAGAACTGTAGACCAAGACTGATGTGAAAACTTTGGAGCTCAGGGAGGATTTCAAAAAACCCATTGAGTCCTCTCACCCTTCTCTGTTGTGATTTACATCAGAACCTACTGCTAAAACTGATTTCACCCTCTGAACCCTTTACAACATCTAGTCATTTCAATTTGGACTCACTTCCAATCTTACCTTTTCTTATCAAGTAACCACTCTCCGCTGACATTCTTTCAAACTAGAAGGAGGGCTAGCACATGTGGAACTGTCAGCAGACTTCAGCCAGCATGAAAGACGGCAGGTCCCAGGTCTCTACAGCAAAACTCAAGTCAGGAATGGAAGAGCAGAGCGCCTTTCACTGTTCATCGGAATCACAGTGACAGCCTACCAGCCCTCTGTGCAGGAGGTCAGGCATATCAAACAGTGGACCACAAGCCACACAGACACACAGAAGCCTCCTCTGGCATGTCTATAGCCAATTATTTTTATCTGTGTACCAAAGTTACTGTGCATGTATTTATCTGTGTACCAAAGTTACTGTGCATGAGTGGCAGCAAACTGCGATAAGACTAAACCTGTCATGTCTCCTTGGAACACGTTTCTCCTAAGTTTGACAAGCTATTTGTAAATTAACCCTCACTCTCAGTTGAGAAGTAAAGGAACTGCAGAGAGCTGGCTGCAGGAGGCTGTTTTCCAGCTGATCTGAAACACTGTGGCCCAAAGGAGGAAGTGTTCAGATATGATACGGCACCAGAGGGGGGTTGTGGCTCTCCTGAGCTAAGGGAGAGGGACTTTGCCTGGCTTGTCACTTAAGAGAAGGCTATGGGGCTTCTGACTGGAGAGAGGAAGGGGTAAGAAATTCTGTAATTAGGGGAACGGGTGAATATAATTCTCCAAAGGTGGCTGACTTTTCTCAGGTCTGAGTGCAGATCATGACAAAGAAAAAGGGAAGTGAAGGAAAACTTCACACAGAATCATTTCAGGTGGGAGAAGAGAGCTTTCCATCATTTCCTTTTAGTCATACGTTACTTAAGTGCGGAAAAGGGTGACCTGTGGAAAGGCATTTTAGCCATGACAGTGTTTCTGCATTCACCAAGCCTGTTAAACACAGTGCAGCCTAAAACCAAGTTTAAAATCTGGTACATCCTTCAGTTTTTTGAACACACACACACACGGTGAACACCCAAAAGATTTATACTGATCTTAAAAAAATGCAGACAAAAGTGACAGCTGTACCAAATTCATGCAGAATTAGCTTGCATGTGGAACAGCAAGGACTAAGGGAACTGAAAGAGCAGTGTGGTCATCTTCAATGGAAAATGGGGAACATCTTGTTTATTTGAGTGTAGCCTTTCCCTCTGATGAAGACTTGATATTGACAGATTCTCTGTGATGTCCTGCCAGGTAACCAAGCTATGAGATACTGGGGACTGCATAGTCTCAAATTAGGCTATACAATAAGAATGGTATACAGAATATTGTGCAAGTTAGGAAGAAGAAGGAAGAAAAAACCCAAATTGCAATTAGGGTTTCCTGGGCTAAATAAAGTCTCCTGTAATGGTCAGTTGCTTTATGGGTTTTGTTTGATTGGTTTGTTTAATTCTATTTATGTGTTGCCTTATCTGTTTTATCTTGGTAGAATGTACAGGCGGACTTCAAATATGGTCGGTTTGAGCTACCCACCAGCTGTAATTGGAGTACTAAAGGTAATCCCAATTAAAAGGTGTTGGGGTGGGTTCTGTACAAAGCATCAAGATAACACTGCAATATTTGACTTGGTAAGAGGGTCTTAGTACTCATCCTTTTGTTCTCTCTGACATTTAGTTTAGTTCACATACATTAATCATTTACTGGCCTAAGGGAATATCCTTTAAATAAACAAAAGAATAGAGTTCAAGGCCGTGGCCATTTTCAGGATGTGAAGGTTACAGCTCTGTTCTAGATTATGATTAAACTGAGGACTTAGTAACATGCTGGGATCAATCACAGCCTCCCACAGGGAAGAAGGAAAACACAGATGGAGAGAGGTGGAGAAGGAAAAGGATCAGTTGCTGTGAGAGAAGGGAATTTCTTGCATTGCTCAGCTTCAGGTCTTCAAGGTGACAATCAGTTTAGGAATAATGACCCTTTTATGAGTTTTGAGGTTTCAGAGGAAAACTGTTTAGTAAGGATTAGCCTGAAAAAAATAAGGTTCAATTCTTGGGACAATTGCAAGGTTCTTGACTTAGGCAGGAATTATCAAGACTACAAACAACTGCCTAAGTTGGCAACCAACTGCTTACACAGCAGCTTTGCAGATTACGTGTTGCATGTGGTTCAACCATGCCATGCAATGGTGAAAAAAGGTGATACAGTGGGGCAATGCACAGGGACATTAAGTGTAAAGGTCATGAAGCAATCCTTCTGTTCTACTCCACACTGGAAAGACCTACACTGTTAGGGTACTGAATCCTTTTTGCTTTGGATAGTACAACTCATCAAAAGATGTCAAGGGATTGCAGAAGGTCCATTGAATGCAAGAAGAATGATCAAACACACCTTTCATGTACAGAATCAAAGCATCCATCCGCACCTTTTTCCAGCTGCAGATTGACACATGTTAGCTTCACTCCTGAAAATGGGATCTAAAGTCTTTATTCTAAAAGAACTACACCCTATAGCCGGCTTATGAGGGAACGTATCTACAATGGTACCTCTTCTCCTGAGTTCCTCAACAGCAACAAGACAATCCAAGACCCATCAGCTACTCTGAACCTTACAGAATCCCTCTCCTCTTTCTATGTTTTTACATGATTAAGGGTCATAAAGAGAACTGATTATGCTAGAGTAAGTTAAAACACATCAATAACATCAAAGGCGTTGACTAATTTTGCTCAGGGTGAAATAATGCCTGCTTGGCCACTGTGCACTCTAGGATGTATTTTTTTTCCAAAACTATTTTGAGAACATGTCTGTGCATGGATGGCCTTGGGGTTGGTAGTGGGTATGGCTGAAATGGGAGTTACTTGTTTTGAAGAAGTCTTCAGTCTTTGAAATAATATTTCATCTTAAATTTCTCAGTCCTATCTCCTTAATGGAAAATGGTACATTTTGTTGCTTGCTTCAGTCCAGTAAAACCAAGTAAAAAAACCTTACAACTACCCAACTGCTTGGTGTGCTCTCGAAAATGAGCTGATGGTTTAAACATGCCAAAGGGTGTAGGAGCATACCACACACTGCCATGCTGTCACGGCAATATTTCCTGGGCTAGCGGATATACAGGTAATGAACACAGAACCTGTAGTCACTTACAGTGTCTTCAGTGTAGACTTCCGATTGTCTGTGGCTACAGAAATGTCAAGCCTTACAGTAATGTTGAGCAGAATAGCATCTATCCCTGAATCTGCCCGTGGGCTTATAAAACAAATCAAGTCTCTGAGGTTAAGGACAGACAGAAAGGCAGAAAACTGAGCTATTAGGAAGAACTGGTGTTTCACTTCATCTCTAGGCTCCTCCAAGCAGTGGAGCAATGGCCAAGTAATAAGGACTGAGAAGTGGCACCCTTGGATCTATTTGCAGTTACACCACAGTGGGTATATGTGGCATTAGAGCAGCTTATGACAGGCTACATGGCCAGTGACCTGGAGACATGTAGCACAAAAAGTTTCCCATCCTTCACTTCTTCTGCTCTCCTTTCTCCTCCATGACAAGACTTCTATGAAGTTCTGCCTCCCTTTAGATCTCTCCCCAGTACAGGGTTCTCTTCTTTGTTAAATTTTTTTTTAAGGTCATAAAATCCACTAATTTTCAAAGCTTAACTGGCGTTGCTGCAAGCCTCTAAGCCATCTGTGACACTTTCATGCTTCTGTTAAGAGGATTTTCCCCCCTAGTTATTCAGGGTAAAATGCTGCTGTCATTATTGTCAATAGCAAAACTTCCGTTGACTTGACAAGAGGAAGGATTTCTCCCTCAGTAAAATCTAAATAGCTCTAATGTGAAACTTATTGTCTATGTGGTTAACCATTATTTTGTGCAAAAGAACAATTCTGATGTACTATTCTGCAATTTCACAATTTGGTAAATTATATCTGCTGCAATAGCACATTAACTACAGGAAAAATATATAGAGGAACAAACCCCTTTTATTTCTGCAAGGTAAGATTGCCTTACAGTGAATTAAATTTCAGCATAGTTGAGACATTATGTTCAGTGCCATAGGACCCAAAAGTATATTATTATATACATGCAAGTGTTAAATTAGTCTGCTCCATTGACTGAGATAAGTGATTACAAAATAAAACCACTTAAAAAACATGAAAATATTTAAAATTGACTGAGTGGGTGCTTTGGGCATTATTTTTCTTGCCCGTTTTCTAAGTTTGTTCAAGGGCTTCAAAACATGTTTTCTTGGTGGAACTTTTTCCTCTCTTAGTTGTTTTTCCTCTTCAATGCCTACTGAAAGTGTTGCAAAGTTGCAATTTATGATTGCTTTTCTGTGACTTGGGCCACAAATCATCTCTGGAGAAGCTTGACCCTGCCTTCAATGTGCAGGCTCCACACAGCTTGTAAAATCAACTGCTTGGCAAGCAAGTTATTTACTGGGATAGATGAAAGCAGAGCTGAATCTTCGGTGTCCTTGATAGTCACTCACTAATTAGCCAATCCATGGATTGTACTTCCACAAGAGGCCTAGTCATTTCTCTGTAATCAACATTATGCAAGTAGCAAGGTTCTGAAGATCAGCCATGCCAGAGGGAGCTGGTACCAAAATAAGCTGGTCTCACTCAGAACATGTCCTGTAGCTATGCTAATGTATGGGTGACCAACCACAGGGCGGTTAAGGTCACTGTCCTTTGCATTTGACTTGAAGTCAGGTCCTTACCTGGAGCATGACCATGACAACAAACTACAAAGGTGGACTGGGTTTTAAGAGCTCAGTAGATAATTGTAATTTAGAATTTTTAGTATTGCTAAAAAAGATGGCAGATTTTTAGATGTACTCTAATCCTTAACAGGACTCAACATTATGTCTAGTCAACACCCATTTCTTGCACTGAGAGCAGATGTGCACATGTGTGTGTGAAATGTAGTCATCTTTCTTTCTTAGTGGAAGTGCCACAAGGAAATGTGAGGTAACCTGCAACAGAGTTTGAAAGTGGAGGGAAACTTCAATGTACAGATGTCAATCTGTAATATGTGGTTTATGGAGAGTCCTTTGGATAAATCCCTATGGGAAGTACATCAAAGCTCTCAGCAGGCAAGACAGCTTGAGAGCTGGTCCCATGCCAGATGCAGCTGCATGGTTGATCTATATATCATTCTTCTAGCTATAACTCCTTCTGCATCTTTCTTCTTTGTTGCTAGGAGGAGGAGAGAAAGGTTCATAGGGTTTCAGGAACATCCAATTCTGAGATCAAGGAGCTTTATCTTGCTAGATAATGAGTGCTGTCAGCTCCCACGGCCTTCCTAAGAGTTGATATTTGAACTTAACCTTCTGCAAGGTTTATACCTTATACTTTAGCTTTATGAGCTGGGAAGTGAACTTTCCCTCCTCAGTCTCTTGACTGACCACCCTGCAGCATCAGTATATCATTTACAGCTGACTTGAACTTTCCCAACTGGAATTAGATATTTAGTCTTCTGTTACAAAGGTTGGGTTTTATATCATTCTTAGCACTTAATGTAACATTACTATGATTTTCTCCTGCTCTGTAGTTTCCTGAAAGCCCCAATGGACACACTTATCTTCACAAAAAAAATAAGGAAAATTAGGGTCATGATGTCTTTGGGCAATTTAAGCTGCAATAATCACTCTTCAGGATTAATATTAAAATCAGAAGGAACTAAGTTGCTCTTTGGGTCTAGCAAGGTAGTTCCTCTAGTTAGTTATTATTTTGGTTGATTGAGCAGTAAGCGGTAAAAATATGACCACAGGTGCCTGTATTTTTTTTACTGTGAAAAACGTATCACCTTATTCTGTTTTAAGCATGAAAGGAGCATTGGAGTGCTTTGCTCACAATACAGAGTCATAAGAACTCTATAGGGACAGCAAAATCCAGAGGCTTTAATATCATTGAAAAGTGTATCTTCATTATTCCTGTTTCCTTCAAAGTAAGTGTTATTTTTCATAGACATAGCACGTGGGTAGGGGACAGAGAAGGGTAAAATCAGCCACAGTAGGGCCATCCCAATGTTTCAGGTACTAAAGCAAAGCAGGATTCTTATCTTTTTGGATTCAGCCTTTGCTGATTAAATTCTGGTGTGGAGAATTGCCATGTTTAGAATAAACAAACATGTTTGTAATGGAAGCTTCTTAAACACAAGTCATACAATACTGTTCAGTAAATTAGACTCTGTGTTGGTTAAATGGAATTGAAGAAGTTAAAAAGAAAGCTATATACTCTACATTGCCACTCTAATTCTCCATTTGTAGATGTAAGACAATAAAAATTGAACTATCATTGTAAAAGGAGTGACCGTATTAACTGTCTTTTCTACCCACTCTTGCAGAATGTAGACAAGTGGTCCTTTGATGTATTTGCACTAAACGATGCCAGTGGGGATCATGCACTGAAATTCATTTTCTATGAACTTCTCACACGCTATGATCTGATCAACCGTTTCAAGGTCAGTAGTTAGAAGATGGGTCTCTTCTTCCATCTCTGGTTTTGTTGAACTTCCTTCTCATCCTGCTTTGTTCCATTCAAAATGCACTTCTAGTGCTATTTGAAGGCTTCATGGACACTGCACTTTCCCCAGTAAGCAAGACCAAATATTTAAGTAGTACTTTTAATTGTGATGGGACACCATGAAGTAGGCGGGGTTCCAAACAGGCTTCCCCATGAAATCCATGGGAAATATTATATTTGATCCTGTGGGAACAATGGTTTCATTCTGAGATTTATAGGACTCTCAAGCGTGCAGGCAAAAGAGGAGAGCGTGAGTTCAAATTCAAATTAATCAAAAGGAACGTGGCCAGCAGGTCGAGGGAGGTGATACTCCCCTCTACTTTGCTCTAGTGAGGCCCCACCTGGAGGATTGCGTCTGGCTCTGGAGCCCTCAACACAGGAAGGACATGGACCTGTTGGGGCAGGTCCAGAGGATGGCCACAAAAATGATCTGAGGGCTGGAGCACCTCTCCTAAGAGGACAGGCTGAGAGAGTTGGGGTTGCTCAGCCTGGAGAAGAGAAGGCTGCAGGAAGACCTTATTGCCGCCTTTCAGTACTTAGAGGGAGGTTATAAGAAAGATGCGGACAAATTATTTAGTAGGCCCTGTTGCAATAGGACAAGGGGTAATGGTTTTAAACTGAAAGAGGGTAGATTTAGACTAGATATAAGGAAGATTTTATTTACAGTGATAGTGGTAAAATACTGGAGCAGGTTGCCCAGAGAGGTGGTAGATGCCACATCCCTGGAAACGTTCAAGGTCAAGTTGGAGGGGGCTCTGAGCAACCTGATCTAGTTGAAGATCATTGCAGGGGTGTTGGACTAGATGACCTTTCAAGGTCCCTTCCAACCCAAAATAGTCTGATTCTGTAATTGTTACAGAGGTTTGCAGATACCAATGCTACGTATCTTTTCCTCCAGCTTTGAAGAGGCTTTAATTTGGATGGCAGAAACACTGCTTTCAGATCTTGACCATTCTCCCCACCCAAATATTCTGCTGTCCCTTCCGCTATTGACACTTTCACCCCCTGGGGCTCCTCACTCACTTTGACTGGAAAGGGTTTACAGCTCTCTGGCTCCTGTATTTCTTCAGGAACTGCCCATGCCTGATGAGAAATGCTTGAAGAAGGTAACTGGTCAGAACTGCATCCTTCCCTGATATGTACCCAAGAAGACAACAACAGTGCTAACTATGGAAATATGAGTGTTTAGGGTATTTGCCGTTTGAGTGGATGAAACTGGAGAACCCATGTTGCCAGTTGCATATGTTGCAGCTGACACCACTTGCATAGTCTCCTCTCTAGAAATCTCCAGAATTGCATTTTCTTGAGTGTGTGCAGTTCTGCTCTTTGGAGGTCAGAAAAACATGGCAAACCCATAGGATAGGCAGGCTGGATTTCGCTGTGAAATGCCAGAGGTCTGATAAATGATACTCCTCTTAGTACAGTATCTCAGACTTGCTATATGATGTGTTTAATCAGAAAATCTTGACTGCGAATAGTAAAGCAGAGATATATTCCAGTGGGTTGTGAGGGGAACAGATAGACACTTGTGGCCTAATTAGAAATATTTCTCCAGGGTCACTCAATCAAGTGCTCGCTCTGTTACTTTTCATGCTGCATGTGTCTTCCAGATGGCATTTTGTAGTATACTTACTTGTGTGTGTTTATGTGTGGGAATGATTCATCCATAATGTAATTAGGGATGAGAAAGCCAGTTTGAGGAAGTAAGCTGGATTCACTTTCTCTCCTGAGTGCCTGTTTCAGATGTTTTAGCGTGCTATTTATTTGTGAAGTACAAACTGCTCTTTGGGACCTCTTATCAAAATGCTCCCCTCCAAATGCTAGCCATTAAGAGTGATTAATTTGTTTGTAATTCTGTGCTGATTTCCTCAGATCCCCATTTCTGCCCTGGTGTCCTTTGTGGAAGCTCTGGAGGTTGGCTACAGTAAACACAAAAATCCTTATCACAACCTAATGCACGCTGCAGATGTGACACAGACAGTCCATTACCTCCTTTTCAAGACAGGCGTAGTGGTAAGTACAGGAGTTGGCATCCTGAACACATAATCAGATTACAACAGTTTTGGCTTATTAAAGAGATTATGATTATCCACAGTAGAACCCGTTTGCACTGTAGACGAAGTTCATTTGATATGGCTATACTAATGAAAGTAGAGATTTAGGATTATTTAGAACCAGCAGGTAGGTGAAGGTATGGATAACACTTTTAACAGTAATCTAAAAGAGGATGAATGAGAAACCCAAGCCCAGTTTTTCACTCTGCCACAGATCCTGGGTGGCTCGGCCAACTCATTTTTGTTGGAATTCATCTCACCTAATGTGAAGAAGCAAATTGTCTAAGCTTTCTTCTTACTTAAGGGAGCAAGGCAATACCTCCAAAGGAGAATTCATTCCACTTATCTGAAGATGACAGGAGCCATTTGGAGCCTCAGAGGATTAAGAAAATAAACGGCAAAGTGAACAGATGCTTTCCAAGATACTGTTATAGATGTCTTTTCTGGCACTGTATTTCATTGTTAATAATTTCCATGCACTTTATTGAAACAGAGTATGTTTAGTGCAAGCCCTTTACCGTCAAGTACAGGATTAAAAAGGCATCTGGAAAATGTTTAGCTCCTTAACTCTGTATTGGACTACAGCTTTGGGAAGTAACCTTTAATGCAATACTGACTTTGTCAGTAAAGCTGCTTGGGGTTTTGTCCCTCAAATAATTCTGAGCCCTCCTTGTCAATCTGTGTTACTCGTTCTGAGATTCCGGTGAGAAACCTTGAATTTTTTTTGACTGAAGACAACTTTGGTCAGAGCCTTTTGTACATAATAGCATGTGCATGGTTGCATAATCACACCCTTTTCTTGTCAAAGTTTGTTTCTATGCATTCAGGATGGACACATGCATATTCTGAGTGTTACACCTTTAGTAAGAATCGGCCATTGAAAATATTGCCTTGAATGTAGTGTTTTTCTTATTCCTATTCCATGAGAATAAAGTACTGAGACTTCAACTGGACAAAATGAGCAAAAGATCTCACTTCCAGAGATCTTACTGTTGGTTCCTAGTATAGGGATTAAGTGATCTAAAATGGCCTTTCTCCTGTCCTTTTCCTATGAGTGCAAGGGGATGTATGCCTCTCACTAGGATATAGCTCTAATGTGGACACTGATATGGAGAGAAGGCACATCCCACAAAATATCCAACAAAATGGTGTAATGTTCTCTGAGGCAAGAAAGGTAAAACCATGAAGTAATTATTCTAAAGAATAATTACTAAAGAGAAAGTGAAGATATTTGCCAGATGGATCAATGCAAGGCTTGGAAGTAATTACATGCAAAGTCAGCCAGAGTCTATCTTGGTAATCAGAAGTAAAGATTCTGTAAAGCTGTGCTTGCTCATGGGACTGTGCCAGATACCATGTTTACACCTGAATCATCTGCAGGACATTGGTTAGAAGACAAAAAATCAAAGCCATGACAGTGGCCACAAGATGACTTATTATTCAGCATATAACAGTAATAAACCAGGGACTTCTCTTCAGGTTTCCCTCTTCTCCAATTGCTTTTTCCCGACCGTGTTCCCTGACAACCTGCTCTCTCTACCTAATTGTTCCTTTCCCTAATTCTGCAGGGGTTATCAAAAGGCAACTTACCTTGGAATTTATGTTCAAATTTGGTAACTGCTAACTTTTTCTCAGTGATAGATTATAGGTGTGAGAATGTGATGTCTCCCTGGATCCTGGCCTCTGGCCTTAGGGAAATGTGTATTGTACCATGAGAGAAAATATCTGGAAGCGTAATGAGAAATATTAAAATCCCTAATTAGTCAGCCAAGTTACATAGCCAGGTGTAGAAAAAAGACTTTGAGCACACAAGGGATCTTCAGTTGAGGAGCTCTGCAAGAAAATCCATTCCCAAGCCCTAGCAGAGCCATAATATTCTCAGTAGTCACCAATTTCCTGTGAATTCTATTTTTGTTGCCACATGAATGAGAAACTCAAGCCCAGTTTTTCACTCTGCCACAGATCCTGGGTGGCTCGGCCAACTCATTTTTGTTGGAATTCATCTCACCTAATGTGAAGAAGCAAATTGTCTAAGCTTTCTTCTTACTTAAGGGAGCAAGGCAATACCTCCAAAGGAGAATTCATTCCACTTATCTGAAGATGACAGGAGCCATTTGGAGCCTCAGAGGGAGATGTTGCTCTGGATGAGCCTCTGGAGATGCTGATCTCCATCCAGTCTCTACAGCAAAACCAGCTGAACAGGCTTACATAGAAACCTAGAGACAGCTGAAGTCTGGCAGTAGTGACAGGAATGGATAGAAGGCTTAAACAAAAATACTTAGCACGCACTATGTTCCCACAGTGGTTGTCAAGACAAACAGTAGAAATATCTTTGAAGATGCACTAGATGAATTGAAGGCAGACAGATTCCAGGGTGGTGATCAGCCATTGCAGTTTGGATTTAGCTGGCAGCTCAGAAAGTTGATGGTCCACTCAGTGGGAAGAATAAATGGTAGGGAAGGCTCAACATTTACAGGATATGTATGTACCTCATTCTCATCCTCTTCTTACCCCTGGTTACTGCCACAGACGGAAAAGGGAACAAAATGACTTTTAGACTGTTCCCGTGTGGCAGCTCTTTTCCACCTATTGTTCGCTTCACCTTTTCCCAGCATCTAATTTGCCCTTGGCCCTTGCAGTGGCAGAACCACAGAGGCAAAGTTATCAGTAAAAGGAAGGTTCACCTATTCGACATTTTCCACTGTTCTCTCTTGTTACACCATGGCCATGCACTGATTGCTCTCTTTGTGGCTGTTACTTGAATATATGCAATTCTATTAGATTGTGCTTCATTTCACAGAGTCCGTTCACTAACAACTGTGTAGAAGCAGCCAAAGTAAGCACTTCCAGGTTCAGGGAGCATTTGTAATGCAGAGCACATGCTGCACCCAGATCAGCAGAGGTTCTGCAGCCTCTGCCTTCCTGAACACTCCCTTATCGTTCCAGGCTCCATAACTGGGAACTGTCCAGTCCGAGCCAGCCCTGAGCCTTTTCTTCTACCGGCTGCACAGCAGCAGTTCCCTCAGCCACCCCTCGTGTGCCTTGTGCCCTGGCCCTTCACCATCTGGAAGGCGCTGGGCTGGGCCCTCAGTGCCTAGGTCAGTGTCTTTGCTGTCCTAGGGAGACCAGGACAGGACACAGGAGTCTGTATGCAGCCTCAAAAGTGCCAAATGAGAGAGGAGGATGTTTTTTTGTTTTTTGAATTGTTTTTTCTTGGTTTTTTATTGTCTTTTATTGATTTTATAACTGGGTTTTATTGGCTTTTGCATGCAAAAAATGTCGGTTACCAAGCCGTCAATGTCTGGTGTCAGGCAAGGGTTCTGCTTCTGCAAAGGAAGAGCTGTCTCTCCATCTTGAATGTTTCCTTCTTTGATGATCTGTTGCTGTTGTTAGGGCAGTGCCAGGGCGGGTCTGTCTGAGGCGAGAGCTAGCTGAGGCCAGCTACCCCCCACTGGCTTTGTCATCCTCAGACAGAAAAAATGCCACCTCCAGGCCCCAGTGAGCTTGGTGGTGCTGCAGGGGAGTCCAACAGGCTCCGGCGGTCTCCGATCCGATGTGGTCCAGAGTTGGCTGATGGTCTCTGATGGTCTCATCTGTCTCCAGTGATGTCCAGTGGTCTCTGGTGGTCTCCAGAAGCATCTGACAGGCTCCAAGGGACTTCTCCTGGTGCTGAAGCACTGCCAGCCAGAAGATGGCAGCCCTTCTCCTCACCTCTTCCCCAGGGCTGAGGGCAGAGGAGATGCCCCCCTTCCTGAGGGGTGGGGGGTGGGAAAGCAAGGCTCATCTGTGGGTTGGTGTGTCTGGGACAGTGGCCCATGAGGCCCTGCAGGCCCCATTGCGGGGGCCATTTTGCTTGCCAGAGAGAAAGGCTGCCCCTCAGGCCCTGGGCCTGCCCTTCGGCTGCCCTGGTGGTGCCGGGGGCTCTG